AGTTCTTAGCTGTACATATTGTTGTTCACATCCAAGACAACTGGTTTTTGCTGATTTCTCATCTTTAAGCAATTCCTCTGTGCCATATCCCTATGAGTTCTGGAGGAAAAAATTACCATAAGGTAGCTTTTCATGCCAAACCAACAGACAGTCTTCCCTACCAGTTGCATGCAGGTGTTTAATTACATCCAGGAAAGGTCCAAAGCCAGAGCAGAGTTACTAAGAACCTGAGTGTTTACCTCCCTCCTTGAGGATTGATTGGAACCACCCACTTAGGTAGAAGTGGAAACATCATAAAACATCACAAAACATGCCCCAAACTCCCAGAACCCATAGATAGCCTAGAACAGGAGGCAGGGGTGGGTTCTATTTACCTTTACTATCGGTTTGCAATGGGAGCGTGCACGCTTCTGCACATTACTACCGGTTCTAAAGAACCAGACAGAACCGGGAGCAACCCGTCACTGATGGTGGGGCGGGGGGTCTCCAAACTTTTCAGACTGAGGGCCATAATGGACATTTTGCAAACATTGTAAAATCAGTTTTATAAATGAGCAAATAAAATTTAATTGAACGAATGTCTTATATTTTGCTCAATGATTCACAACAATAACAACAAAGAAATGTGATGATTACAAAGAAACAACGTGTCGGCCGCCAACCCCTCCAGCAGCTGAATCAGATGAGGAGGAGGAGGCATGGGAGTCAGGGTCAGCATCAAGGCAACCTGAGAACTCCGAGGGGAAAGAGGGAATAAAGCTGTCAGAGAGAGAGACAGAGGCGGAACCTGGGCCGTCCATCAGCCCTCAGATGGAGAGTCAACAGCCCCCAGGTCTGGAGGTGGCTGATGAGGAAGAGGAGGAACAGCTGGGTCCAGTGCCTGACACATGGATACGCAGAAGGCAGAGGAGAAGAGAGCAGTGGAAAGCAGTGGGCCGATCCTTGGGATGGAACAGCCACCACTGCTAGCGAAGCCCCACCCTAGCTCTGTGGATAAAAGGCCAGGGGAGGAGATGAATAGATGCGGCAGACAACTATTCATCTCTGCCGGACAGACTTGTTAGTCTGCGGTGAGAGAGAAACTTTTTGCCGGGGCTGCTGGTGCTACTAATAAAGGAATAATCTGATTTCACTACAGAGGGTTTGTCGTGTTTGGGGAGCTGGGTCAGAACAGAATGCTGTGCTGGTACAGACAAATGATATAAGAAAAATGTCAAACATTAGCAAATGGGGCATAAAACATAAAAAGAAAGAGAAGCTCAGCTGGATCAGGCCAATGCCCAACCAGTCCAGATCACTTCTCCCACCCACTCCCCAGGGTTCCTTTTCCTTGTCCGGTTGGGAAGAGCTGGTGGGCCGATTGAAGCCTTCTGGAGGGCTGGATGTAGCCCATGGGCAGTGATTTGGAGATCCCTGGCCTAGAAGGATGCCATGGTTGAGGGTTATGAATACTGTTGATAGTATCAAACATTGTTCCTTCAGGATTATTGCAAGTAGTTGCTTTGCAATACTGTCAAGCTGCTTTATTTATTCAATGCCACATACAGAATTATTTCAAATTCTGTATGTGACATCTCAGTAGCTTTATTTAATAAGAAGGTGTAGATACAGTATTTTATTAAGAAAGATTAATAATACAAGAGAGAGGGGGGGAGAGGGAGAGAGACAGAGACCAAATTTTAAACTGCAGTGAAAAGTTCAGACCTTGATATATATTAGTGCTGATGTGGTAGGCAGAGTATTACAGACCCTACTTCGATAGTCTAATATTGATCCACTTCAGCAAATTAAATGCTCCACTTGTAACCCAGGATAATTAATTCTGCTGATGCTCCTATAAAAACACCAGCAGACTCAGCGGAGCTTCACTCATGCCTCATCTTTCTCCTTCAAGCAAAAACAAAACAAAACAAAACACCCATGAATTAAGTCTTTGATTCTACTGGCACAAAGACGCTATGTTTGAAATATTTCTTTATTATAAAGTATCAAAGTGGTACTAGAAGTATTCACTTACATTGAATACTAGATAGTAGAAAGAGTAGATAACCAAAACGTGGAGTGCAACTATTAGGCATAACAAAAGACCGAATGAAGGTCTAAAAATGACAAAATGCTGGAGCAAATGAGAAGTTCTGAACTTGCCACTGATAAAATTATATTTAGGAAGAGTATTCTGGTGTAATGCATGTTACAATGGGGACTCAGAGAAGCATCTTGACAGAAGTTGTTAAGCTATGAGCAGATAAGTAGAAGAGAATATTTTCCTAAAGGTGTTTTTTCGAAAGGCACCTGAACTTTGCTTTTCCTATTCAGGTGACCCTAAGGGCACAGATATACCTCCAAGTATGGCCTCAATTCAATTCAATTCAAATTTTTATTGTCAGTGCACAACATATGTGCAATGAGATTGGTTGAGCTTCCTCAGTGCACCTCCCCCAACACAATACAACTCACAGTGAAGACAGAAAATCCCTAACCCAATAAATATGATTTATTAATAAAACACCCAGTCCTATTGCACCAGTGTGAACATGTTACACATTATGACTCTCAGAAAGAATGCTAATAACCGGATGACTGCAAGGAATATAAATCCTTCCATCATCTCCCATTCAGTCAGAACTGAATAAGCTTCTTGGATGAGAAGAGAAAGTCTTCAAGGAAAAACAAAGTCCTGGTGCCTTTTGAAAAAACACCTTTGGGACAACCATGACTTGGATGACTGAGAATCTCTATAGACATTGAGTATGTTCCTGTAGGGATCTTGGCCGTAGACTATTTCAAGATCAAGACAAGCACCCCTAAACTGAGGTAAGAAGCAAACAGGCATCCAATCTCATTATTTTAGAATGAGTGAAAGATGAACAACTCAACCAGAGAAGATTCCAGCAACTAAATTCTTCATTAAATGAATATTCAGGGTCATCTTTAAAAACAGTCTAACCTATCACACATGACAGTGAACCTTCCCATCTACTTACAGCTGCAACTGGGGAATTAATCAAAAGTGATAAAAGGTATTCAAAGTAACCAAGACCACCTAGGATTCCAAAAATGACATTGCTGGAGCAAGAAGCAACTTTAGCCTGTGGACCTTTGATTTCAAGGAAAGTGCAATACAAGAAGCATTACAACTTATTCCCTCCATTCCAATCACCTTTTGGAGTTTTGTTTTCTTTTAAACCAGGAGCGTTTAAACAAAATGTTTGGACTTGAAAACCATTAGGCTACAATACATCTGGCCTATGTCATCAACTGTGACTCAACTTTTCATTGTATGTAATTAAAGAATTCAAAGCATTTCTTTTAAAGGATTTTGAACAAAGGCTTATGTAGTCTCCCTAAAACTCTTTCTGTCCTTCCTTCTTTTCACTGTCCCACCAAAATGGGACAGCACAAAATATACACATTTTCCCTGTCTGGAGACAAGGCAAGATAGTGCTCCGGTCATACCATGGACAGAAGTAAACAGGCCTGCCAATTTAATTCAGGTTCGGTATTGGTGATTGGAGCAGCAAGCAGGTTTGAGGGGGAATATAAACATGTCAGATGCCTAGGAATCTTAATAATGATAGCAATAGCACTATATACCGCTTCATGGTGCTTTACAGCCCTCTCTAAGCAGTTTTCAGTCAAAGCATATTGCCCCCAACAATTTGGGTCCTCATTTTACTGACCTTGGAAGGGTGGAAGGCAGAGTCAACCTTGAGTCTGGTGAGATTCGAACTGCCAAACTGCAGACAGCCAGCAGTCAGCAGAAGTAGCCTGCAGTACTGCATTCTAACCACTGCATCACCATGGCTCTAATAACTGCTGACTTGGGACTTTTTCCAAGCCAAAATACAAAGCACTGACTTTTCAAGTTCCTCATAGATTGGGGACCTGGACATTTAAAAAAACTAGTCACTCCTATATGAATCTAGCAGGTGATAACATCTTCAGAAGATGTTTTCTCTGAATGTCCCTGAAGTGAAAGCAGGCTGTTATCAGGGACAAAAATATGTTTATTTGATGACAGCTTTGGCATGTTTGGTAACTAACTTAAATCAAATGTCTTTGCTCATGCTTTCAGTAAAAAGTTATACTGTATACACTAGCTCCATTTATCATTTGGAATTTTATTAATTATATCTAAAAGATAACTGAGGGCTCCTTTTGCTATTTTATAGTCCATTCAGCTTTGGAGATAAAAGAAGATAACTCTGCTAGCTTCTTTGTGAATTTTTCCTCCTTAATTTGAAATATACATATGGTTTGCTTTAATAAGAATGAAAAGAATGGTTGAATGAAGCAAATGACTTCATAGACACAACCAAGCCAATCCACCTCTATACTTCACTGATATTAGTGAACTAGTATAGCTCCACTGTCCCATTTCCCTTCTGAAAGGACACGTCAGGCCTTGTAAGACCATCTTGAGTTGAGTCTTGTGATAAAGCAGAGAATAAACCCTTATTGTCCACAAAGTATACTTGTTACAGATCTTCTTTACTAATTTTAATGATCATCCTGGAATGTTCTTGTATATACTACAAATAGTATCTAGCAGTGGTGAAATTCAAATACTGGTTCTGTGGGCGTGGCTTGGTGGGCATGGCTTGGTGGGTGTGGCAGGGGAAGGATACTGCAAAATCCCCATTCCTTCCCCACTTCTGGGGGAAGGATATTGCAAAATCTCCATTCCCACTCCACTCTGGGACTGGCCAGAAGTGGTATCTTTTTATTCTTGATGAATGTATTTTATCCTCCTTATGTACACTGAGAGCATATACACTTAAGACAAATTCCTTGTATGTCCAGTCACACTTGGCCAATAAAGAATTCTATTCTATTCTATTCTATTCTATTCTATTCTATTCTATTCTATTCTAGTCTAGTCTAGTCTAGTCTAGTCTAGTCTAGTCTAGTCTAGTCTAGACTAGACTAGACTAGACTAGACTAGACTAGACATTTATGTTTGGACTTTAGATGTATAAACAATGATGATCTTATAGTACCTTCCAGGAGCATCTCCATTTTCATCAATCCGTACTTCTTCTCCTGAGACTCCAGTGAATGATGAATTGAGGATAGACTCCAAAAGCTTACTTCCATCAATTGGCTTCATAGCATCGCAGAGTCCAACGTGTCCCGGGCAAAGGGCATGATGCATATTTTGTAAGCCATGAGCCATAGCATAGATTGCATTGATAACAAATCCCATTTTACTGTCTTGGACATAGTTTTCTTCTAAGCTTTCATTGCCTGTAATCAGAAGACAAAGTATTATTTCTAAATTGAAAACGAAAGGAACTCTTTTCAGAATGTTCTTCTGCAGTGAAATCAGTATTTTTAGACAGCCAGTAGCTTAAGAAAAATTTTTTAAAAGACCAAACATTGCTTCAAATATCCCCACCACAAAACCACCAATTTTTAATCCTCATCTTATAACTGATCTTCAACGTCTCTCACCAGTGGCTATCCTATTGTTCAGCAGCATTTGAAATATGACAAGTTTCCTTTCTCTGCTCTAAAATGATATGGGACATTTTGGTATTTTCCAAAATAGTTCTGGAGGCTGTTGCATAGTATCAAAATTTATAGGGGTGATGCACCAGTAAAAATGATACATTTATTTATTTTACATTTTGAATATTGAGAACATTAGTCAATGTCTTCCTAACACTGGCAGAGATTTAATCTTTCTAAAATCATGCACAGTGTAGCTTGTAGTGATGAAGGTGGTGGTTTTATTGATTTGCGGTATGACTTTTGTTGATTTTTTCCCCCGAAGAAATTCTGGCTAGAAAATAAAAGCAACAATAGGAGAAGTGGTATTGTAAAACATGGATGATCTTGACAAATAAGGACTCTTTTCTCTGAGTTGCTTAAAGGCACCATACTAATAAATAGTAAAATATTAAAGTACAATTAAAACAGAAACACCCAATGCCCAGTCTGCCACTGTAAGAAAAAGAGCTCATCTACTCATATCATTTAATGGAAAATCCACAAAGCAGAAGGAATTTCAAAGGTTCAAGATAGGACTATTATATCTGGGATGCAAAAAATCGAATCATCATGAGATAGCAATAAAGCATCAGCATTTTCTGTACCTGTCACTGTCATCTAATGGATATTTGTATTTTTGAAACACAGATATGGCATCTGGCACAATCGGCAATTTGGGAAGTAATTTTAGAGGTGAAGCGTTATTAACAAACCCAAAGGAAGTTTTCCAAAAGGCAACTGGACTTTCTTGGTTTTTCCCTTAAGAACATTTTGCTTCTCATCCAAGAAGCTTCTTCAGTTCTATTTCTTGGATGAGAAGTGAAATGCGTTCAAGGAAAAAACCAAGAAAGTCCAGTTGCCTTTTGGAAAACTACCTTTGGGACAACCATGACCTAGATCCGTGATAGCGAACCTATGGCACGCGTGCCACAGGTGGCACGCAGAGCCATATCTGTGGGCATGCCAGCGTTGCCCTAGCTCAGCTCCAGCGCACATGCGCATGCAGGCCAGCTGATTTTCGGGCCTTCCGGGCCCACCGGAAGTCAGGAAATGGGCCGTTTCCGGCCTCCAGAGGGCCTCCGGGGGTGTGTGTGTTGGGGAAGGGTTTTTGCCCTTCCCAGGCTCCTAGAAAGGCTCTGGAGCCTGGGGAGGTGAAAAACGGGCTTTCCGGTCCCACTGTGCCATCGCGTGCCAATAGCAGGGAGAGCGCGGGGGGGGTCACATGCACGGTGGGGTGGGGTGCACTGAATTATGGGTGTGGCACATGCACGTGCGACACCCCTGCGCTCCCCCCGCTTTTGGCACGCGATGGCAAAAAGGTTAGCCATCACTGACCTAGATGATTAAGAATCTCCATAGCTATTAACAAAATGTGCTATTTTTGAATGAACCAGAAAATATCTATTGGTAGCTGGTAAGTGTGAAGGGCTTCTGATGATATTATCAAAATGTGGGCAGGCTAGCACAGGTCAAGATCATCTAAAAGGTATTTCATGGTCAGGGTTATTTCATCTCCATATGATTATGTGGATTAAGAGATGAGTAGCCAAGCCCATACTCTTGAAATTTGTCATCAACTGCTTAAATTTTGGTTAGGGTCTATAGATTTTGGGATTTCCTTTCACCATGAACCAAATGCCACAGTTGAGTATATATCTTACATCGTACTACTGCAGAAGAAGGCCTGTTTGCTGTCTGCACTAGATGAGACACAAAACTCTTGGCAAACTCTCTGCATTTATGGTCCAAAGAAGGAATAGCATTTCAAACCTTAAAACATGCCTTAAGAAAACTGTGGCTGTGTTTTGGAGGTTGATATTTTGACCGTTCGTCCCTTCAAAAATCAATCATGAAAGCTTAATTAAGCATTTCAGCATTCATAACTGTGCCCGGATTATCTTGATCTGATCTTTCTATGAGAAACCAGCTTGCAATGAAGCACTATAGTATGGTTCATTTGTCATTTTTGCAATTCAGAAAGCGGTGGTTCTCCAGTGACCCACACTGACTCTAGAATAGTACTGACTGCCTTATACTGTGCTGCAAAGGTGAGATCAGATGCTTGGGCATTTCCCATGCAAGTAACATATTTGTTCTTGTCAGAAGGATGCTTAAGTGGGAAATTATATCTAAATGATGGCATTACTCATGAATGTGGAATTTGCATAGCAGGCGTAATGAGCCTGCCACCATATGATTGCTTCATAGAAGAACATATCCCATATAAAGTGACTGCATATAAAACACATTTTAAGGGGAAAATGTATCAAGCATCCTTAGCACAAGAAAGTAAATTCACATGACTAAAAAGCCAACAAGAATCACAGAAAAGGTGTTCAACTACGACAGAACCACTTGATTTCAAAATATTATCAGACCTATCAAAGATATATTTGTCCTAGGCCTAGACTTTTATTATTAACCCCAGTCCTTTATTATTAATACAATTCCTATTGTGGGCTAAGAAACAGTAGAATAAGTGTCTTTCTTGAGAAACAACAAGCTGTTTTCAAAAGATTCGTGAACATTCCAGGCTCAAGGTTGACTCAGCCTTCCATCCTTTCTAAGGTAGGTAAATTGAGGACCCAGTTGTGGGGGCAATAAGCTGACTTTGTATAAATATACAAAAGGATGAAGGCTATTGCTTATTGCTTAGCACATTGTAAGCCGCCCTGAGTCTCCGGAGAAGGGCGGCATATAAATCAAATTAAAACAAAACAAAACAAAACAAAAAAAAAACATTCCACACCTTAACATATTGAATCCCAAAGTATGATTCAGATTCCTTTGAGTGCATCAAGAAACAGAATTCATTAAACAAGAGAAGGATTATTCTGGCCAGATTTTGCAATAAGAATTAGCTGACTTTCTAGCGCAAACTTACAGTATAAAGTACTGGGGTTGCACACCAAACAATTTCTTACCTCTTAAGGTAAAGGTAAAGGTTCCCCTCGCATATATGTGCTAGTCGTTCCCAACTCTAGGGGGCGGTGCTCATCTCCGTTTCAAAGCCGAAAAGCCAGCGCTTTTCGCTGTCTCCGTGGTCATGTGGCTGGCATGACTAAACACCAAAGGCGCATGGAACACTGTTACCTTCCCACCAAAGGTGGTCCCTATTTTCCTACTTGCATTTTTTACGTGCTTTCGAACTGCTAGGTTGGCAAAAGCTGGGACAAGTAACAGGAGTTCACCCTGTTACGCGGCACTAGGGATTTGAATCGCTGAACTGCCGACCTATCGATCGTCAAGCTCAGCTCTTAGCCACTGAGCCACCGCGTCCCCTTACCTCTTCTTTAAGAAATGTATCCAGATTTGAAGATACAATCCTTAGCACTCCTAATAGCTTTGATAGGCAGAACATTTAAAGATGTAATAAAACATAATGATTGGATATTTAGGTCAATGTGAAAGGGCCCAAAATGTCCCTCAAAATGTCACTTCATTTGTGACAAAGCAAAATTTTAACGAGGGGGAAAAAATCTGAATTTTATTGTGGCCTATGCCCATCATTTCTCCCTATAATTGTTTCCCTGATGCTCCATTGTTTCCCATTATCATTCTTATTTCCAGTCCAATTTGTAACACACCCACTGATGGCGATGCTTTTTAGCCATCTGGATCAGTTTCTCTCTTTAAGAAAAAAAAAGAAAGAGAGAACTAATTTTTAAAAAGAAGGAATAAGAACTGCAGTGACATGATCATAGTAAGATCATTGTAGCGTTTTAGCAATAATTCATTCCCTGATGCCAGCCAAGTTTTAACAGATACATGTTTAGACAAGTGAACTAACCCACATTTGGAATTAACCAGGAAGGGGGAAGAAAAGGAGATTGGAAGCTAGTGATTGGCATAGATTGATGCCAAATTCTTAAACCTATATTGAAGTTGAAATAAACACAGTTTGCTACATTTTGAGAAATTATTATACAAGAGATTGAAAATTAATTAACTGACATATTCATAATCAGTCAGAAACATTAAAAATCTATCCAGAGCTGAGGTGACAATCAATTCCACCTCACATACTCAGGTATCTTGGAATGTTTGTCTCCTGTAAAAGTATTTAGCAAAAAGCTGTCCTTCCATCAGCATACTTGGTTTTATATTGCTACCTGTCCAACATGGAATGAAACAAGCTGACCGTCATTCAACACTAAACAGCTCAGAAGTCACTGTACTTTTCAGTTTTTCATTACTAAAAGGGATTCTGCAAGGTGATCAAACCAGTCATTCCTAGAGGAGATCAACCCTGACTGCTCTTTAGAAGGCCAGATCCTGAAGATGAAACTCAAATACTTTGGTCACCTAATGAGAAGGAAGGACTCACTGGAGAAGAGCCTAATGCTGGGAAAGATTGAGGGCAAAAGAAGAAGGGGACAACAGAGAATGAGGTGGCTGGATGGAGTCACTGAAGCAGTAGGCGTGATCTTAAATGGACTCCAGAGGATGGTAGAGGACAGGAAGGCCTGGAGAAACGTTGTCCATGGGGTCGCAATGGGTCAGACGCGACTTCGCAACTAACAAGAACAACAACAAGAAGGGATTCGAGTAACTCACATTCCATTCACCAAGGGGGAAATCTGTATAGTCTCTATCCATTTATTTATTTATTCAACCATCTTGCTATTGTCTTTCTTTTTCTTCTCAGGGTCAGAGTTTGAAATTAGGGAAAGTAGAATATTCAGCTTCCATATTCCTTCAGCTGACAATAACACTGATGTTTTAAACTTTAGACAAGGTTAACATTACAACGA